GGGATTAGCAGGACTTTTAATAAAACCATACTGAATTCCTATATCTTTGGAGATAACAGCTACAAGTATTTTAGTGGCTTCTGCTGCTAGGACAGATTCAGACGAATTTGAGTTGGCTTGCAGGATTAGTGATTATTGCCGATTTCCTGATTTTCTGCACCCTTCTACTTTAAGTGGGCTTATTTCTTGACACGTATTAGGGTTTCGAATACAACTGTAGCAGGCATTCGGGGTGAGCGCATTAACAACAATTTGCTCTCTGCGACCCTGTATCGAAGCTGTGTGAAACCTCTAAATCGTAACAAGAACTAGTTCCAACAGAATTTCCTCAACAAATGGGCATATTTGGACTAATCATGGACATTTTGATAAAAACATAGCGTTCGAACACAGGTTTAAGTGAATGCGCGGGTGCATGCACGCATCGGATTAGATACATCGCTTTTTAATACGGAAAATATACATATTCCTTTCGGCGAAGAAACCCCTTATCTTCCCCACGCATCGGCCATTAATTTCGCGTCAAAATCGTAGCAACAATTTTTCTCTGAGTTTATCTGGACTTTTTCTAGACAGCCTTCTGTAGTGGTTGGATCTATGAATCTGCGAGTGAATTGGTATTTGTCTACTTGAATCTAGAATGAGTGTTAAAGAACTCGGTATATCCGGTTCTCTATTTTCCCTATGCGGACAGATCGCTTGTTTTTTAATGCCTAGAATTTTATTCATTTATTCGGAGTGAGATCCTCAAAATTAACAGCATTAATTTTGTCGTTCACCATCCGGATTCAATTGCCAGTATCTGTGATACTGGTTTGAAACCGTACTTGCAATAGCTTTTGAATTTAGTTTCTATTTGCTCTTGTTTGTAAAGCGGTAGTCTACCTGCGTAACACCATTTGATAGCCTGTGTTCTTCAGGTTACGCTTAGCGTCAAGTGCTGTTTTTAGCATGATTATTAATGAAATGTTACATTTATAAAGTATTTCATATGACGCAACCCTAATAGGCATTACATGGTTTTGGCAACGGTAACGTATGCATTTGAAAAAAAGCTTCAAGCGAATTTAAAAGTCGGTCTTATTCATTTTTTTACTTTTCAGTTTGGGTATGATTATATTTATGACAGCCATGGACTGAAATCGTTGGCTCTTCTCCGGTGCACCTTATATTGCATTTTTTGCAGAATCACCTATGAAAACGGGGCAAAAAACAAAAAAAAACCATACAGAAATAGACAGATACTTCTTCCCAAAGCTCTTGTTTGATTTGCAATACTTTGGTGATAACAAGCAAATCACATTGTGCGATTATGAGAAGCGATATCCAGCCGGTCCCAGTTCTAGTTGAAAAAAAGCGTGTTTGTATACTTGTTATGGCAACTTTACGAAATGGACAGCTTTGATCTTCTTTAGTAAAAGACAGAGCCTGGGTTTCTGAACAATCATAAATACCTACCTGATAGGATAAAGAGACTACGTACTTTTTTGCGTCAGGGTTTTACTAAAATAGCCGTATCTATGAAAATGGCAATGGCAGATATTTTCACCGCTTTTTCTATAGTATTTTGACTTTCTTAAGAGATGGAGTTGATAATCTATCTACGCTATAGGGAAGATATGGCGCTATTAGACTCAGTGTAATGTCGGATCTCCTTTGTTCAGATCTGATCCGCCAGGATGGTCATAGACTACCGCATCGTTCAGCCTTAAGCGTAACTCTGAACAGCCTAAATGTTCACCTTCAGTTAGCAGTATTACAGGCTGCATAGATTACATTCTAATGCGAAAAATGAGAGCTATATAGTCCAGTGTTTTGAATAAGCCCGAGATCGGATTTGTTTGTATTAAGTTCCACAGATTCTCTAGATCGTCCGCTCTTCGTGGGCGATTTGTTACCTCGATTGTTACTGTGACGTCTAAAGATTGCTTGATGTCTACGCCTAACTTATGAGGGTTGTCATATACAAATTCAAATGTCCCTCATGAGATATAAGCAAAAGAGACACAATCAAGGATAATAATTTTTTTGATTTGGTAGGATTGCCATGCTAGGCTCACTACAAGCCTTACGCTTTGTCCGTTCGTATATCGTAATTACATAGGAATAGTTAAAAATGCACCACTTTGTATAATCAGCCAGACTATATCGATCTTTGCCAGAATGATTCTATATGACAAATCGTCTAGCTCTTTTACGATTCTTGCAGTGGATAATACCGATTTTATCATTGCATTGTATAGAAGCGTCTGCATTGCTTAGTAATCTGGGGAGTGTATTCATGTCTAGTTAATCGCGATATTTTTCCTCGGAATCAGCCTTACGAGAGGCGATCTTGTTGCAAAATTGTATGTATTTCTATTAGTACTAATTCTCATAGACAAAAGTACCTAAACACATTTCTAAAACTTTTACTGCCACTGGTGTAAAAATAGCTAGAATTTCGGTGCTAATACGGTTAAGCTAGCAAAAGCATTAAGGAACTTTCTGCCATGGAATCTATACGTACAAATGCGGTGCATGCTGGAAAAGGCATGGCCGTTTTCGCTGATCTTTGCCTGTTTCCGTTCGTTCTGCTTTAAGTCCCGCTAATTCTTTGCTTTATAAGCCTTTTATTGACTATGAAAAACTGTGACAACCCGAACTGAGTTTACGACCCAACTTATCCTGAGAAAGTAACCCAAGAAACATGCTTCGCGTACAGCGCGATACAAACCCATCTTACACAGTTACAGCTGTGTTCCTTGCAAATGAAACGATCTTTACTGAATTTTAAAAATGGGATGGGTGCGTTTCTAAACTGACAAGTTTATTTTCGCAAGCCCCATTCTTGGCTTAATAATATTCTCGAACGTCGTATACACCATATCGGTCACCGATTGCTTTGGTAACCTTCTAACCCCTATGAATGTAGAATAACACACATATTTTAGATTCGAACTTATGCGAGAGGGTCATCCGACCTAAAAGCTAACAACCGTTTCAGGCAGTGATCACCAGCAAATGAAAGGCTAGAAGAAGGAAGTGATCAGTAAAGAAAAATTTACCTCCTAACAAGATAACGTTCTATTCCAGATTATGTACGAGTTTTTAGCGTTCACATTAACCAGCTGTTGTGGCTATTGTTGATTGTTGATATTAGAAATGACTTTTTGTTTTAACGACAACAATCATGAACAAAAATGTCCATTGGTAGATGGTACTTGAAATTTGTTAACGATGTATTTGTACCAGAGATAAACTTTGGATGAGAGTGGAAGATAATACAAAATGATGTTAATTTGGCAGAAAGGTCGTCAGTATGATTTTTTTTTCTAGGATTTCAGTTTTCTCAGAAGTGAGACGTTCAATGACGATTATGTGAGTGAAAAATTAGATTATTAAGCAACTTTGTCAACTAAATGTAATCTGATTTACTTCAACATGAAAACCGTGTGTAATTCTATTTAGTTCTAGTTGATTCCGTTTCTTAGTGCAGAATAGAGTTCTTATTTCTTAAGCAGGACGATATACCGGAGAGCCTACTTCATATTGCACAGCGTTGTTGATCTGAGAATGGGCAGCAATACTAGGGTGAATTACTTTTCCCGAAGCGAAATCCTTTTGCCAACTGTAGGATGTAAACCTTTTTTTAGGCACATTTCAGCTTACAACAAACGAATTTTCGCAGCGTATTTGAACTTGCATATATTTCAAGACTAGGACAAAACTGTACCCATTTTGGCTGATATCTGCAAGGTGCGACCTAGAAACCGGACGCAACCTCTTTGTACCCAAGGGTTCAAAAATACGTGTATAGCTATTTCCAAGAAAAACAGTCTAGTGCGCTCCTACACGGCAAAAATTAAATTTAGCGTAAGCTAGCCACAATATCTTTCTACAGTATTCAATTAGATAATGCTATAAGGCATTGAATTAAGAAACAGATTCGCTAACTCCATACTTCCTTAACTGACGCTGGTTGACAAGATTTGTACGTAGTCTTTCTCGGTCAAAGACCTAAGTTTAATGGTAGCCATTACGAATATTTACTACTAATGGTATAAACCTTTCGGCTTACTACAAAAATCCTGTAGCGTTACACTCAGGAAAGGCTGTATATATACTAGATACAAAAAATGTTCTAGATTGGCCTTTATCCCAAGAGACTCACTCCCTAATTAGCATGTATCTAATAGTCCGAATTGCATTGGCGGATCATTTATTAAACATAACAGTTTCTTTACAAAATCAAATTTGGTTGGTGAACATATGCTGCCTTTTACGGGTTCATCTTTCTGAATAGTATAACCTACACAGCAATACTACCAGGAAACTTCTATAGGCTAAAAGTACGATATGTTATAGTTATCTTTGGAGAAAAAAAAATTATTAACGCATTATCGAGCTGGTCGTGCTAAGCTGTAAAATCTTATGAGCAGCCATATTCCTGCCAGACAAATAAAGAAGTATTGTTCCTTCAGCAAATTTCCAGGCAAAAAAGCAAAAAAAAAACAATTTGGCGCACGGGCCCCTAAAGGGTTTGAGCTCATGTTTCCAACTATTTTTCTGAGGTGTTCTGACCTATTACACATTTACTCTTATAGCTGCACAATTATAAGAAAAGGCACGCAATTCACCAAACGTTTTATCGACGTCGCCGATGTCTGTCAGTCTCTTCAAGCAATCGCTTGGGGAAGTCTCGTACCGGGATCTGATCCTGTGCTTGTTATACTCGTATGGTCGCCTATCGGGCTTCATTTAGCTGAAAATGAAAAAAAGTCTCCGTATTGTCGCCGATAGTGGGTGGTGGTTGTCATTGTCTGTGGTGGTTTTTCTTGTTCATCGATCCGCCTTCAGTCGTCTACTCCTCCTCACCTATGCATTTCTGGTCCTCGCCTTCGACATCCTCATAGAACTCATAGCGGTGGATCGCCTCTCAGTAACGGCAGTCGCGACAGCAGCCGCAGCGTAACGCTAACCCTCGCCCCGTACGCTACTGCTCGCAGCCGCTCGCCAGTCAGTTGCGCGACGGACTTCGTCATGTGAACAGGGCGAACATCTACAAAACGGATTATACGCCAACCAGCCATGGCCATGACGTCTACCACGCCGGTGATCATGGGGAACGTGTAAAGTAGTTGAGACCACTGTGAATAGCTGATCCAGCACCTAGCATGTTGTATTCGGAACGAAATACATTTTGGGTGCTGCTTCAGACTTGGTCTCAAAGTTCGACGACGTCCAAAAGACGACTGGGTTAGATAATGGCTTTTTGTCGCCCATACGCCGTTCTACACCCTCTAAGCGTTCTTAACGCAGCGCAGTGGTAGTAATGATTTTGTCAACACAAAGTTGTCGCTTCTGAGCCATCTCTATCAAGTAACAACAACAACAACAACAACAGCAACGGTGCAAGATACATCCTGGCTTCGGCTAGGAGAGTTAGCAGTAGGTTGGCGTGTATTTCAGCGATTTCACTTATGTGGGCAGGTCCTTAGTGGTCACAGTGATCCAGTTTGTCTCCAGCCTCTTCTCTCCACGCGACTGTAGAAGTTCGTGTGAGTGAGTCAGGACAACAGGAACGCAACGTGTCTCGTCGTCCGTAGTATTCACAGACACACCTGTCCCTCTTTGAATCGCTTGAACTGGCAGAGCTGCCGTTCAGTCTCCCTGCCTGCCTGCCTGCCCGCCTGCCTGCGTGCTTGGATTAGCAATCGCGAACGCGGTAGAGACGAATCGTTAATTCGTTGGGTCAACCAGCCGAAGCGCAGTTGACTCGATTGGGTCTGACGGTGTAACTATTGCGGCTATTACTAGTCCCCGTAGTACTTTTACCATTATAGATTGTGTTGTTGTTCGGTTGACGATTGCATTGTATACCCGTCCCGAGTGCATCCGACTACGTGGCCGCGTTAGGCGGTGAAATCATTGACGTTCACTTGGCTTACGCCGCTATAGGCCTTGTCATCGCGCACCTGAACCACTGTCGTTCTCATCGGGACTAGCCGAGTTAGTCAATCAGTAGAGAGTGTGCTTTATAGCGAACGCATAACAGAGAGGCTGGCGTCAACGCCGTTCATAGTGGTGATGACATAGAAGCAAGTTACCGCACACTGAGCGGCTGAGTGAACAGACGGATCAGCACAGCTGGATGTGATTTGTGTTTTGTTTCTTCTTGCCTAATCCCGATCTATCTACCCGTAAAACCTGCAGGCTTCCGTATAGTGAATGTATACGTAGAATTTATACATTGCGCTAATCCACCTGATCACGGATACTCTGTTAGTGGTCGGCTAATGTGCAGTGTCGTGTCAGATCGTGCCTCGCAGTCATGTCAGAGTTGATGATCCGATGAAACGTAAGTAAGTGAAAAACTGAATCGACGGAACGGAGCAAACAAGCTTTTGATGGACTTTTTCGTTTGTTCCTAGGAAATTCGGAGAAAGAAGTTAAAGGAACGACAAGAAGAAAACACTGGACAATAATAACTTACAGTTACTCGTGTACAAATCTTATGTCTTGCGTGTGTGGGCGAAAGTAGCCCGTCGCAGACACACGCCGACGATAAGTTCGACCAGCCGTAAGTATTTAGAGAGGATCCTGTTGATGGAGTTGCGGCACGTTCAGAGAGCGGTGTAATTTTGGAGTTACGCTGCGCTGTAGTAATGTAGAAATGCTACACGGGAAAAAAGTTTGTCAGAAAAGAATATCATCACGTATACACATGAGCGTAAATCAATACCTGAAGTATATCCTCACACGCAGAATACGGATTTGTGGTGTAACACCACCACAAATCCGTATTATCATACTTTGTTCAAAGGGAGCCCGAATCATGTGATAAATTTCTGCCAGGAACTCATTAAGCCGACGCACTAAGCTGCTTATTTTGTTAAACTAGACAAAGACTACTAGTATTGAATGTGTAGTCACCAACGGGCGCTAAATAACATTATAATATAACACCAAGCTTGACTTGGGCCAGCTGGAGCACTCTTTTTCCTCACTTTTATGGGGTTCTTTCTATAACGGCGGAACACATGTGATTGCCCCCTGGCTACAAACGCGATCAGAACAGAAGCGTACTCCTTCCATAGGTTGCCTATAGACGGATTCGTACGAACGTGGTGTACCTACCTTAGATATCACGTAACATAAACCCAACGATACACCGAAAAGACAGTAGACCGAAAAAAAAGAACGAGGAGAGTCTTTCGAATGTAAACATAATTTTCTCTGCTTTCGCCGCTTCAGGCACAAGAGATCGTCCTGCATCACGTACACTCCGTCACAGCAATCATTATCACAATGGCGATCACCGCAAGCGCAGACGTTTTTACGTTTTCACTACTGAACTAAGCCAAGTAGGCTGAGTGATATCGTTCAACAGAGAAAGACAGCCCTCACTGGGGAATCCTTTCGTATACGGATATGAGACTCTTCCTAATAGTGTGTAACGCATGTGTAAATATGTTGCATGCCAAGGGGAATTTCGTGATACATAATCTTATAAAGATGCGTTTAAAATGTTCAATTAATAAAATTGGCTTTCAGCTTTGTGATCAATCAGTAAGAACTACAAACGATATGTTCACACCAGGATGTTATTGAAACACGGTACGTTACTGGCGTTTCGATTTTCGGTACTCTGTATCAACAAATAACGGGGCCATAAGTTGCCTTCTACTTCATGTGGAGAAGTGCTGGTTTCAACAGGAAGTCAGATAATTGATAATGCTCCCTTGCCTTGCGTGAGGCTTGTAACATAAATTTCGTCCGACCGTCATACAAGCATGCCCAATGGCCGGATTCAGCCGACTAGCCAAGTGAAAATAAGCAAAAGGCTATAGACTGCGTGTTTTCAAAACAATGGCACGCAAAAATACATGAAACAAATGCATGTATACAGTATACGAAATGGTCATCGAACTTTCCAACCGCTTATTTGGAACGACGATATATAGTAATATTCCTTCGAGTATCATTTCTTATAAAAGGTATAACCTTTATTATACAACATATTTTCATAATAGTAATAAACATTTTGGTTACCATTAATGTTATGTTTACATTTTGCAACGACTGAGTGTACATTATTGCAGACTCAACTTGAATTATCACCTCACCGAAAGTTCCAATTTTGAGTACGTTTCCTATCGTGTACGACATAGCAAATACCCGAACAGCTCGTCAGGCGGTGTTGTATTTGAGACTTCCGCCACTGTTTGAGCGTTACCACTGTTGCACTACCATACAGAGGCTCTTCAACCGACATCATCTGAAGCAAGATTTCTTTTGAGATATACCTGGCAATGAAGAGCTACGTTTTGGCATGACATCGATCGTCGCTCCTGCCAACACGTCCCGGCCTTTCAACGCGTTTCAGACGTTTTCTTAAACAGCTGCCCCTACAAATGGCCGAATACGTTTATACTGCTAGCAACATCCCTTCGCGAAGCTTTCGCTGAGAATGCGCCAGCGACGAGAGTCTCTTCGACGTTACAATATGAAAGATTTGACATTGTCATTGTTAGCCCGACAAGCTCCTTTCGTCAACCAAGCTTTTTTTATTTAATTCGTTGCTTGATGAGTTGATCCAATTCTGGGAATGGGCGTGCGATCCCAATTCCACCCTAAATATGGGTCGGACGTAAGGCAAAATATTAGTGGTAATACTAATTGGCAGCAGCTCTAACCGACAAGCCGGCTGAGTCGAAAGCGTGGTAAATGTTCAGTCGGAGTGCGCTAAATCCGCAACTTATGAGAAATGACTTAACAATATAAGTAGAGTTTTGCTGTCGTACCGAAAGTATGCTTTCGCTCGAAATATTGTTATAGTCATTAAATAGTGTAGCATTTTTGTTACGTGGCACGCAAACGCACCACGCTGGAACACGACAGTCACCGAAAACAAATTGCCCTTAATTCAGGTCGTTCAGGAACTAGTTATGATAGTTAATCGTTCGAGCGTTATAGGCAACTATTTCACGACGCGGAGCGTCAGCTACGTGAGCAGTACGCAGACGGGCGCATTTTGGGAAGCTAAAAAGCTTTACACTCAATAGAAAGAGAAATCCCCTAAGCATGGCTGATAACTGATATATATTCGACGGGTTCTGTGATCGTTTATTCTAGGCACAGTATTTAAAATACGACTATTATGTATGGCCACTTGCTAAGCTCTGCGAATGGCCTAGAGAGCATTTGTCGCAAACTCGCGAGCTTACTGAAAGCCGCCGAAATAACTTCCACTATCAATGAAACAAATCCATTAGCCAAAAATTCTAAAAGATGTCAACGATACAAAATTTAGAGGTCTCATACTAAAAGCGCTTATTCCTCTTACCATTGTCCGGTCACGTAATGGCCAAGCAGGTTGCCTTATCCCCACTTCTTTGGCTCTTTAGCGTGGCCGATGGATGACGTACGAACACACATTATACGCGTGTAAAAAAATGCATGCCCGCTTGCGGTGAGTACGGGAACACCATCGATAGTTCTTATGGCAAAATGCATGCTTCCAAGCACCACATGCTTTATTCCGAGTAACAGAAAATACCGAGTGCATATCCATTCCCAATTAATGTTAAATCTACACACATGCTATAGCCCAACTGATTGTTAGCAAACGTTCAACGACGGGAAAAATTACCTATACTTTTCTTAAATTTAGAATAAAGAAAGATGTTTACCATATAATGGTATTGCTCGTCTGTAATCAAAGATGGCTTAATTCAAACAGTTATGAGTATACTGAATTAGATAAGCGGAACTGTGATATATGCGGTCGGCCTCAAGTTCCGACTCTGGAGAGAAAGGGTTTAATAAATGACATAAACCAACATTGAACGATAAGTTTGAATTAGCTTTTCTCTTCAGCCTAGACAAGTAATCCTCCGAGAAACCGTTCTTTCAGTATAGCAAACATAACAATGTTTATGATAACCATAGCAGCAGTAATTGTCTAAACAATTTCGTCCCTCGGATTGTCTTGAGACTCGTGCAGAACTTCGAAACGAAAACATATTTGCTTACCTGTCGAAGATCTCCCCTTAAAAGGGTTTATTATCACGACATATCGAATGTTTGCTGTATATGTATATTATAACTTTCAGAAGCAAATCCGGCGAACTTTGGAATCTAATAGCTTTTGAGTTGACACAATGACTGCTATTTATATATATGCCATAGAAGTGCTTTGCTTCATTTTCACGTATTTGTCCCAGCGCTCAGACAGCTTCGGCGGCAATAGGCGAATTGATGGCAACTTTTGATTTAATCCAAGCAGTAATTAAAGCACGGCGCCCAGATTTTGCATCGTCATTAAGTAAGCAGACGATGTGCTTTCCATTGTCGTGCCAACGGTCTATGAGAATTCGAAATAACGCGCCGCATTTATTGTTTCAACTTCAGCGAACATCCCATAGAAGCAGAAATATTTGATGCCTCTTACAACTATTATCGTCACCTTATATCCGAACTTGCTCGACACTGCCACCGAAGTCAATTTCTCTTTAACGCAACGCTGTTTTCTTGCTTGGACCCTTTCGGCGCACGGCAGATATTGAATTGTGCCTCGTCTATGGCGACCGCGTGCTCCAGGCGGGTTCCTTGTTGATTAAAGTTTCGCAAATTTTAAGTGAAATACACCACACGCATCTCCGACTGTTTTCACGGAAGACTCATTACTTACTTAGTTTTCGCGTTTTTAGTATTTGGGTTATAGATTTGCAATGCGTTACATGTGAAATGCCAGTTTCAGCTGAAAAGACTTCCAGACGCTGCTTTGCTTTCGTGAGAAGCCCCGTTGGCTGCGGCAATCCGTTTTTGTTCTCTGGGTCCCGATTTTTGGTTATGTTTTTGCTGGTCCTAACACCCCGATCTCCATCTTTAAAGCGTTTACATTATCCATGAACTGTGTGTTCGCTAAAGGCACACAACCTGCACTGCTAGCGGTGGATTTTCGAGACTAAAATATATAGCTCTGAACCTAGATAGAGAAATAGAAACCTAGATTTCCTGGAGTAAACTCAACTGGTTCCCATTCACAAGTTCTGTTCACAAGACCGATCTATTTAGCAGCTAATTTTCGTCAGTTAGCGTTGCCCATTTCAAAAGGTATATATATATATAATGTGGGTCAAACTTTGCCAGGCCTCTTGTTTTAGCTGGTTTAGGCGTTTGCTCGTTATTCCTGGTAGCAGAGGATAATCAGTCCTTTCTAGAACAAAACAACAAACACGCCAGGCAAAAAACAGTAATACTCAATGCATTGATGCTGGATAAACTCCCACGATTTTTCTACCTTTTTTCGATCGTCGATTGAAAATCGATCGTCTGCGCCAGTTTTTATGAGCCCCGTAGAAAACCCAAGGAAAAATCTTTGATAGAGTTTGCAGCTAAAAAGTTTGAAAATTCATTACAATGACCCGAAAGCCTTTTCTTGGTACAACCAAGCCTTTACTATAGAAAAGGCCGTTTTAAAGAACAGAATATCAATTGCCAATTGGGTCGTCCAGATAAACTCCAACGGGTAATCCTTTTGAGACTGTTCTGTACCTTCCTGCACCTTTCGTACTTACAAACCGCTCCGAGCCATTGCGTTTCAGATCCCTGGTCTGCCATCACACTAATATTGCACTCCATCAGATCAGGTTCTTCTATGTAGCGCACTTGAGTGACACTCTAGCGAGTTACATCTACTAGTATCATTTGATGGGGGGTTACAATTGAAAAGTTCCTGGAAAATTAGAGAAGGAATATTTTAAAAACTATTAGTGAATGGTTTAGGTCATAAAATATAGATATAATCGCGATGAATAATAATGATTATGTTGGATAAAGATGGCCACGAAGATACGTCTAGTACAGACTGCTGTAAAACATTGATTGAATTATTTATTTACCTTTAGATTCAGTTCTGGAAACATCTTCCAAGAAAGCGTTAGAACTTAGATGCCCCCACCCTGTATATACATGCATTCAGAGAGATACATATATACTTGTAGCAGCAGTTTGTGTAAACATGTCAACATGTTATCAATATATAGAGGTAAAGTCGCAAGCAATTTGGTCCGGCCAATTTTGTATATGGCGGATAAGTACGGCAGTCGGATAAAAGCTGTTGGCTCACTTGACTATCTATAGCGAAATTCCTAAAACCCGTCTTATACTTTGCTTCCGTGTCGTTCGTTACGACAATGTAGGTTATATCACAGAAGCGGCACTTCTTTCTTATCCACCCTACATACCAAGCGGATCTTAAAGGTATAACAGATGCTGCCATAAGCGAGGTAGGGCGCCAAATACTCCGACGGTAGTCTACTTACCGTATGTTTATCGCTATCGATCCTAATAGCAAACGGCTCAGAAGTACGAGGGAATTATCGATTTTCAACACAAGTTACCTGCGAACGCCACAATCCGTTACAATATATAGTGATATGAATTAGTAACAGTATAAATTGCTTTTTACGGGTTATACGCGTAACAATAGAATTGATATAGCAGCTAAACAAACGTGGACGAGGCACAACTGTATCATACGAGTTTTCCTTCAATACGGATTAAAGCCTATTTTTGAATGATGGACTCAGATGAAATTCCTTAACTTGCCAGTTCTATAATCCTGCTGATTTGGCCGCAGTAACACATAAGTAGCTGCATTACTTCAGTCAAGTTCTAGTCACTGGCATTTGCGATGTTTGTCTTGTTATTGACGTGTTCTATTTACGGAAGTTAGAAGTGTTCAGGTAAGAAACTTGGCCTAGTAGGTTCGACCGAATAACAGAGGACCTATGATAGCGCTTTAACACACACAAAATGCCACTAGCTACGGTAATAGTCCTAGTCCAATGGATCAATCAGGAAATCTTGCAATTGTACGGAGTACAATAGACAGCAAAGGTGACGAGTTTCTGTGCGAGGCCAAATGTCTATTTTTTTTAAATGACCTTGGATATAATTTCTGTGTGAACAGGTCTTCGAAGTCACTTTTTTGGTATAATATATTAAGAACTTGCCCCCATTAGATAGTGAATTTCAATAAAGCTATGCGAGGTTTCTCCCCTCGCGGACTGCACCAGCTCTGACAGCATGTCCCTGCATGTTTCGCAATGGAGGAAACATGGCACGTAGGAATCATAATTAATTATAGAATATCTATTGGTTATAGTAAATGAATAGTTAGTTCACAAACAACGTGAAAAATAATAGTATTCGCAGCGCTACCCACGTTTTAACATTGAAATTTTGACAACCCTATTACTATTAATTTTATGGGCACTTGTTAATACGATGTTTTATGCATTCCCAATTGTCAGTGACCATAGAAAATATCTGGCCGTGAGAACCGAGGGCAACTTAAACGTCTGACAGCCATCAATAAATATCTGTGGTAGATGACATCACTCACATCGGATGCGGCCGCAGAAAGAGTGGGGTACCGCTGAATGTTGAAAGCACTAGAAAAAAAAACCACTATTTTTAGAATGTCTGCGAAGGTAATGGACAACATTAACTATGTACGATCACTATACAGTAAATGTATTCAAAGAAGCAACTTAAGTCAAGGGATGCAGTTTCTTTTAGTTGTGATCAGACAAACAGGTGATAGACGGTTCTACGGATGCGTGTGCGTCTGAAATGGCATAAGGAATTTTCTATGATTAGGAGTACGGACCCAGCGCCAGATACAGCGAACGGTTGAAAGCTGGTCACATGAAGATTTTTAGGGCGGTTCTTATTCACAGGAAATTCAATGTTTATTAAGGGTTTGGAAAAAAATTATGAAATTATTTCAATAATAATGATATCGATTTGAACCCATGTACCACTATCTACTTAGTGATACACTATGAACATTCCAGTGTATTATTTGATGTAGAAGTTGAACGCTTTTCTACTGCCCGATAAGCCAAAAACTGAGAAGGTCACCCTTACTAGATATGGCCGCGTTATGATTTTTTTCCAACTCCTATCCAACTTTCTACTTTCCAATGTGCTATCACGGCAATATATACATGCATATAAAGACTGAACATATTTACTACACAAGAGGTTAACTTTCACAAGACAACAACTCTTTTGTATAATACGATGTGGATAAAGAGGCAAAATCAAAAAATAATGAAATTAAAAATATATTTGACTATGGTGAACCAAAAATCCTTGTTGTATGTATCTATCTATGCATCTATATAGAAAGCATTTTTTCTTCCTATTGACAAATATCGCGCCTATATTGTGACCCTCAAGTTTGGAGGTTTACTTTTATTAACTGCTAGTATAAATCTTTGTCTGTAGTTGTAGGTAACTTGATTTGGCATCCAGTACTAAACTATTTATGGTTGGTTTTATGATTAGCGTGAGATGCATTGCAATTGTTCGCTATCTGCGCTAACTTATGCTTTCGTTACCAGACAATAGTGATTTTATTTTTTAGAGCAAATGTGGAACAAATAACGCTGCAGGGTCACATAATTCGAGCCCCGTTAGTGTTTGCTTCGGTCTTTAAGATTGTAGTTGCCCTACAATTATTTCAGAAATAAAGCTGAAACGCAAATGATGCACACGCCCGAAATAATCTATAGATTGTAAGTTACTGAAGTGACGAAAGGGTATTGCAAAACATGAATATGATGAACAAACAGCTGGCTATTTACGCGGCGAAAGTTCTAAGAAAATGTCTACCATACCTGTTGCCTTTTTACGTGTTTAGGGGATAAAGGGTAAAAATAATATGCGTCAAATGACTGTCTAGAATTAGTTCCGAAGCGACACCCGAACGTACGACATACAGAGTACTTATTCCGCCTAGTGTAGTGGCCCTTAACCTCCTGAACGTAAACACGACCATCTATAAGCAGTTTTATGGCAGGCTGCTCTCTAGCCTCGAAAACCAATCCTCAAAAAAAAAAAAAAAAAAAAAAGCTTTTCGTGCCAAAAATCGCAGCAGGTACCTTTCGATCCCTTTAATAACGTCAAATCTATCGATACGGTGTCTTCTCAAAAATACACGGGCCTCAGAAGCACTCCCGAATAGTCTCCGAAAAATATGAAACGGTTGTATTTATACACATATATAAATATACGCTACAATATATATATATATATTATAGCGTATTTACTGAGGGCTCTGTTTTATATTGGCCAGTAGAACTGCTGGCATCATATTTGTTATTAATGACCTAATTTTTGTTTTGCTACACAGCGTTTCGAAATTGTGCTTCGTACATTGTTGGTTATACTTCCTCAAACTAATAATAAATACTGTAATTCCCCCAGTTTCATAAAAGTTCTTTAGTCGAAACAACGAACGCGCCACGGAGACACATTGAACGTATTAGTTTATTTACTAGGCTAAAATCGATGATGTTAAACGCTGGCTTGGACAAACGTAAAAAAGATTTTTTTTATCATATGCACTTTAAGTAACTGCACTAATAATAAGCGATCTTGCACGCTGAACGTCGATTTCCAGTATGCAAACAAAGACCACCGTAGTCGTCTGAAGACTTTCCACCGGTTGCAATTACGACCTACTCATACGATGTATGAAAATCATGTTTTCTGATTATGATCTATAAGGGCATACGCTGGAACCAGAGGAAAAGCAAGCTCTTAGTTACAGTCCATAGTTATATTTTGACAAAAAAAAAAAAGCGTTGTTCTAGGTAACTGTTCAAAAAAAAGATATGATACTGCACATGAACAAACGCTTCACCAAAACAAATTAGAAAAATTACTACATTGGCTGTCGTCAATATGCATCACATGGGCATCCGTTACATACACGAGTCACAGTACCGTATAAGGCCTAGCTCAGCTAGTAAATAGGGATCATTCCGAAGAACAACCGTTAATACCTGATATTTGATGTTTACATACAGTTAAGGGAATATTCACTAAAGCATTGTAAAGAGTTGTGCGCATGGGAGACAAGGTCAAGCTTCTCCCACAGTGGTAATAGCAGTAACATACTACTAACATGGAGGGAACAAGCACTGTCGAATTATAATAATCCTAATAGAACATACGTCATAGCGCACAATTGCTAGTTCCCTCTTTAATCGATATAATCTTTCGTCAGCTGTTTGTCATAACGCCGCCGCGCTCTGTATGTTCGACGACGAATTAGCCATGCTGGTCTGAAGAGCAGCAGATCCATATATAACAGTACGCACACGCATGGATACAAAATTATATCGTTGTTTCAACAAAACAAAGAAAACACAGAACACGGTCAAGGGAGGACGTAAACTGCTGTGTCGGCACCTGGTTGTTTATCTAATATTCATCCGAAGTGATGGTGATGCTCGAAAGAGTCACGATGCACAGCCTACTTGATATTGTAGATAATGAGCGGGTACTGCGTCTTCAAATATGAAGATCATTGATGAAGACGCTGCAACATGTATTGCAAGGTTCGGGCAGCAAAGTATTCTTGCAGATATTGACATCATAGTTCATAGTAGCGAACTATATTTACTGTTTGGTTCATTGTATCTGCTAACGAAGCTGAAAAGAATTATTTGGTTACATATAATCGGCGTGCGGAGATGAAATAGTCGTTTTACGCTTTTTGCTTAATTGCGAAAAGATAGCTTACATACTTTTGCCATCTTATGAGCTGTCCAAAAACGTCTATGACCTCGTTTTGCCAACATACAAGTTACAACTTTTCCTCACCTAATTTCATGTGTGTTGCTTTTCAGGTATCCGCGATTCGAATCATGTGATCGATAAGTCAAACGTTTTAGGTGTCGTACCTTGCTGGGGGGGGGGAAACGTTTATATACACAGTAACGGAAGTTATCTCTGTACAACCACATTAAGAAGTAACGATAAAGCCGCAACTATGAACAGAAAGACTTTTAATGAGCTCTTGCATAGGATGCTCCACTTTGGACAGGTGTCATTCCGCATGTCGATAGCGCTCGTTATCGTTCTACAAGTGACATACCACCTCGCAAGTGCATCTGGGTAAGTTTTGGCAAGAAAAATACGCAGATCAAAAAAAAAGAAACTGGATCGTTGGTCAGAACGGGTAATATTTTGTTTACGTGTGTCTATATACAGGGTACATCTTGTATCAATTTAGGCTAATATATTATAATATTGTTAGTGACAAATGTATTAGTTATACAACGCTTGTATTCAGTGAACGTATTAAGACAAGCTTTTTGCCACAGATACCTCTAAATGCTATACACCTTATTCGACAGTAGAGATAAGTAAATCCCTCTATTATTGACTCCAATGAAAATCGGAACGATCTGGTTTTTTTTTTGTTTTCGAAGGAATAGACATCGGCAACTGTTAACAGGAGCGCGACCTGGCCTACGAGAATATTAAACTAATGTTGGCGCATCGATAAAAGCATAGGACCATTTCACAAGACTTCACTAGATTTTATATCATCAAGTAGTGCTCAGACGTCGTTGGGTTTTTTAGTCGAATATTTATGAATCACATCTACTAAACCCTTTCGCTACCCATTTGCTTACAATATTCTCATATCTGGAGTACAATCGCGAAATCTTCGAGCATACTTGCAGTACATTTGTACTGGTTTGTCTTGTAGATAGTGCTCGTAGGCATCCAGGAAAGGATGCGATAATAGAGATAAAATCCTAGAATAGTGTTGATTTTTAAAGAATTAACGTTAACTGTTCGAGTTACTGAATGACTGGGGGTAAAAACATACCAATGTGAAAGGAAAAATTCTCACCGCGATCAGCCCATCAGATTAATCCCTATTTTCCGTGCTGTAAAATTGGCTTAGGATTCTACACCATGTCTCGATAAACTGCCCGTCTAGTTTTGTATAACTGCCCTATACGCAAATATAGACAAAGCACCTACATATGCGGTTATGCCAGGCGCCATTCAACCTACATTTCGCATGTGGTATGTAATCCTCTCTGCATGTAGACTTCATATACTCTGTACATAATGGCTTAAACATGAATATATGCGCGTTAGGAATATACGAAGTCCTACGCTGATGGAAGTCGAAAAGCCCAAAGCCCTTCCGTATACACAAGAAGCTGAAGTGAATATTCCGATGCTGGTTTCCGTCTTCAAATCGTAACTGAGTATGCTCAAGTTCTATATACCCGACCCTCTGTTAACATCGAGAAATGTCGTTGAGAAAAAAACATCAAGCTTGTTTCATTTTCTGGGTCACGAGTCGCGGATGTGAGCACGATACGACGCACGTGACTAGTTCTGAAGCTGCGTACATGTTGCGTATACTACGGCATTCGATGTCGTTCAAATGTCTTCGAGAGTTAGTCTAAAATAGAGAGGCAAGCCTGATAGAGTATTTTATATATCATCTAGAAACGCAATAGATGTCATAGTTGCTCGCCATGAATTTGATCTTGACAAAAATATCATCGGACAATTAAACGTACTTGAACTTGAAATTCAGATTATGAAGCAACAAATTATACAACAGAGAAAATCTACTGTGTCCTTATATATTATCTCAATAATAGCGTTTTTCTTTTATCGATAACAGCCGAATCAAACAATTCTGTGCAAGCAAACTTTGCAAAAGCTTGATGCAAAAGCATTATGAAAACTACTGCTCTTTAAGGGTAACAGTTAGCTGCTCTTAGCGATTAACTCTAGTTGACGGCCTTCCCATGTTGTGGATAGTTTTACCCCGGAAGCTTTGCCCAGCAGGCCAATGTTTGTAGTAAAACAAGGACGATCTACCGAGCACTAAACTCTGCGCCAACTGGACGTCATCTTTGCTACATTTATATTTGCTGCTTTAGAAAATTGTATTTGCCCTCCCCGATATTTCCCTGGTCAACTAATTCCGTTTTCCCTTTTTATGAGATGAAAAAACTTGTCATCACAACAAATATCATGGCTCACGTTCTTTTGGCGAAATGATTTTTCTCGGTATAGTTGCTCTGCATTCATCTCTTAGAGCGACAGTGTTCTAATCATACTTTTATCCTCCCGTGTTCACTGAATTTAAATAACAGCTTTGTTCACTGATTTTTCGATTAGTTTAAAATATAGCAAGATCTCAGGTCACCAGAGAGAAGTATAAAGTGTTCCCGTAGCAAGTTCGTGTTATTGAATGCTTGCAGCCAATGCGAAGCTAGGTTGTTCCCTTATCCATTATTTATTGAATAACGTCTCCGTTCCCAAAGCTGGGGTCTAATACTCGATTTAGCTTTGCTCATCTTCAATGTAACTCAAAAGCCATTATTTTTCCTATCGTTTTGGCTAGAATAAGAGTCTAATGTATACGCTATGATTTTAACGAACCAATACATTTTTATGGGGTCTTCTTGCAAAACTCCCGCAGTCAACTGTAGTAAGCCTGTTAGAAATGCACTATACGTCCTTATGCCGTGCCCAATGAAAAGACACGCTCGACTCGGCTGCCCGTGTGTTATCTTCATTGTTGGATGGCAGAGCTAGAATACGGGATGCACCATTCTTACATCAACCTTGTGTCCTGGCTGAACTTTTTAGCGTTTTATCCTGTTTTCCTTTCTAATCCGATAGTTGTATCCGCTATGCTGATTATAGATGTTTTTCATGTCTTGCACTCGTACACATTGGCTGTGCAATGACCCAAATTTCGAGGACTCTGCTATGCTAAATCTAAGGATAATACAAACGTTTGTACTTTCTCATTTCGAGTTAACATAATACGACAAAGTGGCGTATATTACTGAAAACTCTGAATCCCCGCCAAAGGTCTCAGGATTGGGTTATAATTAATATAATTCTATCCAGTTGCGAGTCTCTAGCCTCTCCGTTAGTCACTGGTTGTAAGTAAACATTTTATTGTTTTCTTTACGCTAGCCGATATACGTACTGGTAGAAGCCTTGAAAAAGGATTAGGTTGCACACAGAAGATACTGAATAAAAACAAAGGATAACTTGCAAGCATATCTGTCAGTGAGATATGACAGTTTCAATGTTAGCATATAAACAGACAATCGAATTCTACCTTTGATACTGCGTCAAGGTAGCAGTAAAGTGTTTCACCAATCGACCTAAATCATATGATTGCAAAGGCCCGTTAAAGCTAGACTATTTTGCGAGTCTCTATGTCAGTAATAAAATCAAGTTACCAGACCTTTGTGGGTTTATAGATTATAGACTTTAGGCTATATTTAATGCATATTACATTATGAGCATTTTCTTTAACATTAGCGTTCTTGCCAATCGACGTGCTGACCTATCTATCACAGCCGCTTAGAGACGCATCTTGTGGAGGATACGAAGAAATGTAGCTCCACAAAATTCTATAATCCAAGCCAAATGATTCTCTACATATACACATATACGAGTCAAAATAAAAGCTTACACATTCGACTCAACACAGTGACCATGGATGTTTTTGTCGGATGCAGTTTCACCTGACGCGCCTGAACATGAGGTAAAATAACCACTCTGATCTAGTGCACGTTGTTATTTCTAGCACACACGTTCAGAGCACACGAGATTGGAATCTATGTGATCAAGCTAGATTTATGCACAGGTTGCTTCACATTATCATGAGCTGAGTGGACAACTCCGCTCTGTTTCGCACCTAAATGTAACGACGGTGTAAGACATGTCAAGGCCATAAGCGTATATGCGATTAAAGGCGGTTATAAGCCCATCGAGAGTTACCTATTCGAACGGCCAACGCCTCGCCGTCGCTGGAAGTTATTCTGCCTTTGCCTACCGATCGATGTTAGTGCCGTCGATCAAGTTAGTAGCAACTGACATGTGTTGGCAAACAGCAAAATCCCTCCTTTATCTAAGAAAAAGTGTGCCTACACTGCCGCAAAAATTGAACATGTCCCAGATGCATGCAAATAAGTTAAACGTTTTATGCATACAGAAATTCTCCAAAAAATTGCGCCTACCTGAACACATTTTCGAATATTAGTCCATTACGCGACTCAGCTCTCGACGTGCTTCGTAACCAGCTTAAACAATGAGGAAGAATTTCTCAGGTGTACTTCAAGGGTGTCTGTATAGCTGCACACGATGTCGCAGGTTACACATCAATGGGGCCGTAGGGGATAGTTAGTGGAAACGCTGTATTGTTGAAAGCTGCTCAGTCCCCCCGGCCCCCATTACGTCCATCAATAACAGTGGTTCAGCCGATTTCGCTGTGCTGTGCCTGCATTTAACCGGAGGACAATACATAAATAAATCAGGGTTGTTATAGGTCGATGCCGTTCCCTATTACAAAATTGCTAGATAGATTCAATGCATAACTGGTCATACCTGATACGTCTTGCACTCGGTTGTTTATATAATGCTAGGTGCTATCAATTATTGAATATGATGAAACAAGGAAAGGTTTCAAAGACATCATTAATCTACGCGCGTTTATTTGACGATTGTCACCCGCAGCCTACGTGGTGCTAACGGTGCTCAGCCTTCTCTATCGGCTCACAGTAGCAGTTCTCCGTATGTGACACTCGGCACTTGATCTTTCTTGAGCAATTGCAGCTATTGTAACGATCATCACTATTACTATTAACAATGAACGACCTCCCGCTACGGTGCTCTCAAAAAATATTATACACTCGTTGAAGATCTAGCAAATGGTTATCGCGATTCGAGGACGAGCCTCGGCGCAGTCTCCAATTTCCACCAGATTACTTAAGAAAGAAAGTTAGAAACTATGACAGAACAGCGTACGATGATAGCTTCGCTTCTTCCATGACCATGTTTTCCCGCCTCACGACCGAAGGTCTCACGTTTGTCCCACCTTCATAAACATGTGTGTGCTTTTTCAAGGTTCGACACCCCGTCACGAGTCGCTTGGCATCGCACAATCATGTTGCAAGAAAGGCAAAAAAGCCCAAACGACCTTGGCCATTAATGAATATATCCTGTTTACTTTGAGGGACTTGCCCCCTCCCCACCAGTTCAGACCATCGTTATTCCCTTCCAGCAGCATACGCGTTGTAACGATCGATGAAATCGTTGGCGTAGGTATTGATGTTTTAGCACATTTCTACTGGCTGTGTATCTTCTCGTCGAATCACGCTTCCGACAGGTTTAGTGGTCAGACGACATTTCGAGGGCAACAGACCACTTCGGGGATCATCGTCTATTAAGACGGTTCACTCAGCGGAATATCACCTGCACGACAGCGTTACGAGATGGGGAAATACTGGGCCGTTAGTGTCACAGATACACGCGTATATATTATGGCATACTCATCAGTTGGACCATTGCGTCAGTGCGTGTGTCTCAGGCACCATACAAACATGTCATGTCCTCCCCCCAGGAGAGACAAAATAGAAAAGGGCGCCTCGTAATCGGCGCTGGCCAATAAAAGAACAGGAAACAGACTAGCAAGTAAAGACCGGTACGGAAATTCCATATTAGTATCCCTACTTCGCTTACGCTTCTAAGCCACGCAGTAGCCAACGATTTATAGATATAAAGACGCTTGTCGGTATGATACGATGTAGTTACTTGTGCGTAATAGCTTATGTTTAACTGCCGGAAAGCTAAGGCAGAATGAACTCGTGGCTGCCGGTTGCTAGTCACTAAATATTACTAGAACAAATCGTGCCTTAATGGCATATATACATAGCGCGAAAGATTTGTATCGTCAATATCACAATGCGGTATCGATCAAGCATTCCGTAATAAAATAAGAGAGTTATTGGTTGAAACTGAAGTTCGTTTTAGTGCACTTTTATTAAGAAAATTGTAGCGTCAACACTGAGTGGAAAACCCCTAATCATGATTTTGTTGACTTCGTCAAGCCGTTAGATTAAATGGGAATACTCCTGTACCATGAACACGTTCTCCAGCGAAGGAAGGCGCCTTTTCCAAAGCGAAACGTAGGAACTAAGACCCAAATCAGCCCGCCGTCATTGTCGTTATGGTTTAGTTGTTCTCTCCGGGAAACGACGTACCTATATTACAGTGTCTGTGTGTAATATTACGATTATCAGTGTTAAACGCACAAGTTTTATCTATTCTTCCCTCGAAGTCCTTGCGCAGTTTACCTCGTGGTTAGAACCATCTGTAGACGCAGATGCGCATATTATATGAACCTCACAAATGAGGACGGATAATCAGGATTATATATGTATATCGAGCGAAAGGGGAAGAGAGTAAAGAGGAGAACACAGCCTAAAAGTGAAGGGTGTTTCGGTTTTTCTTTAGCCTCTGCGAGCTCGATTTGCATATGATATCTATGCGACACACGTATACTTTGCCAATAAAGTATACATTTTATACCCATTAACAGGAAGTGTTTTGATTCACGCGCACTGATAAATTCACATTTTTGTTTTGAATCCGTTCTGACATAATTAGCATTTTGCTATAATCTGTTACCTAAGTTCTTCGACTTGCGTGGGTACAAAGTATTAGATGCGTCTGTATTTCTCAGGTTTTTGTTCGAACTCAACGGGATCACGTTCAGAACACAGACGTCAAGCCAAGTTTAAGCAGCTTATTGATCTGAGCTTATTGTAAAGGCCTGGAGTTGGTAAGCAATCGTCAATAGCAAGCAAAATACATCTGGCGTCATTCTAGATCAATGACTTGCTGATCGAAATAGAGACACGACTTACGTACATAGTAGCAAATGCGATGCTGTTCAAAGGAGTTGTTCCTCACTTGAAGACAGTGAGCGGAAGACCTAACAGCGCTTTGTGCCTCAGTAGCTGCCGTATAAGCAGTGGGTTGTTATTTATCCTACACAATTGGGATTGATTGGGTCGTATTTGTCAAATCTGACTTGCATTCATTCGAACTAGTATCAGTTGTCGCACCTAAACAGAACACACAAATCATTTAATAAAGTTTCCACTAGCCGTCCAGGAGATCATTTCTGATTACACGCAAACGACGACGAAGCAAAATTATCCAGGCCTATTGGATCTTTAAGACTGATATAGCACTAGTTACACATAACCTCCATGGTATCATTTACGATGTAATCATAATATTCGTTATGATATTGGTAAGCCACGAAGTTCTGTTCCTAGCACTGGAAAGAGGTCTGTGCTTCCTGCTTGTTCTTTTAACAGAACAAAAACAAGAAGCACATGCATCCACTGGAGTGGATCGTTTATTATGTTTAAATGTTTTCAGATTAACTAGGAACCATGAAAAAAGCGATTCCCAAAAATTTCCAGCTTGTTAAATCAGATTTGGTATACAACAAGGCTGGGTATACATTGTTGCAAACACAGAAGGCAAGACGCAAGGTCCCAGATGGAGCTGACGTGTCCTAAGTGGCTAATGCGCATCGTTTCGAGTTCGTCGCTGTTACAGGTTTGAATATACGATCACCAATGGTTCAAGTTCTAGGATTAGCAGAAGCTTACCATGCCGTCTCTCAGGTCCGTTAAAGAAACCTTAACGAAGTGCAGCGAGTTTCGTCCAGAATCGACTTTGTTGTGGGGAAGCAGGTCATTGACGTCATAGGAAAGAGTTGATTCCAAAAGCTAGCTGGCACAGTGAAAACGGTCGAAGAATATAGAAAACAAAGCAGAGAAAGCAGACACGTTTGATCCTTCGCGTTGCTACTTTGACTATTTCGATTGTTTTTCGGATTCGTCAGAATATTTATTTTCAACAGGGTTATGCAAACAGTTACTCGGGCCGCGCAAAACGGAAGCGGCGCACAAAGCACCGCATCCATGTCCTGGTCAGAGCATAAAGGGATCTTAATTGGGTCCAGGCTTCTATGAAGGCGTGTCTAATTTAAGGCTGCTTCAGGTCGAAGCACTACCTGGTGGCATTATTTTTTCCATTCGACGCAGATGACCACCTGGAACGCGTAGCACTATATAACGTACTTTCATACATGCAGGATATATCCATGTCTCGTTTTCGGTCTTCCTCGAACCGTAGCCATGATCGGCTGTGGCAGCGCCGGTAAAGCAATTCGTTATATAATGAACTGGGTGTGGTCGAAGCGCCTACTTATTTGTAGGCGTTAAGACGAAAAGTTACTGCAATTCGTCAGGCCATGTTTGTTTCAGACACAATCAACAGCGATGTTATTTATATCTTTCTTTGAACTAGACGAGCCATGCTGTACGCCTTTCATGGCCGAAAAAAGCATTTGTACCGAACTCAGCAAGCTTGACAAATTTGACCTATAACTAACAATATACTGATATTGATTCATGATGATGTATAGATACAAATTAAACCTGCTAATTAGTAGGCGAATGTTTGTTTTCCTGTTCATTGTTTTCTGTATTATACGAGTCGACAACAGGTACGTTTCAAAGAAGATGAACATCAATAGGGCTATGATTGAAATTTCGAAGATCACGTTTAGCATAATGATATAACTATAGTACAATGGACACATATGAGGCTTCTGAGAGTACTCTAAAAGTCACTCGCGCGGGGGGCAGAAGCCGAAGCACGAAAAACGAAGAAAGGCATGACATGCTCAAGAACACTTCGATGTATAAAGGTGAGCGAGTCGTATTGTGCTGAAAACAAGTTAAGTTTCCAGCAATTAAATGGGTCATCAGTGCAGTTAGTGCAAGTTGAGTAAAAACCGATTAAATATAAAGTGGGCCAGCGTATTATATTTCATCAAATTGATAAAAATTATCTCATCTTTAATCGGACTAGTTCCAGGCGTACGTATATTATTTTTACCGAAAATTCAATTGAAACAACTGCACGGGCACTGGTCGAAATAGACGAACGAAAATTAGCGTATCTTAGCAGTAGACACTTTTCTAGCTCTAGTTCATTACGTAAATCTGGGGCTGTTAATGGATGTCAGTACTTGACAAAATTTAATTTACGCTAAAACATAATTAATATCAGACCCAAAAATAATAATAATTATGAAATCTGCGAATATGGAAATTATATATTCGTTTTTTTTACCAAATAGCTTATAAATGTATGTATCTAAACTAGTAAAGCAGAATTAACAATTAGCAGAAGGCGTATTTTCGGTGTTGCAAGGTTAGACAAAGTTCGTTGGACTTAAAACTTGGCAGGGTACTAACTAAATAAAGATATATATTTTTATATATAATATTAAGAGGCATAACGTGGCATCTAGTAGACAATCCACAAGTTTTTGTCTAATCGAAACGTATTTCGAAAAGAAAAT